TCTCCCTCCCCTCTGCAGGCATTACCTCGCTGTCGGCGTCCCAGCCCATTGGCAGCCTGGCTGCATCGCCCATCATCTCCTCTCCCAACACTTTGGGTTCACCGGTCCCCGCTGCAGCCAGCGTCCAGCCCTGAAATTGCCTCTCCACACCCGCCGGCTTCCTGCAACGCCAAGGCTGGTGCCGCCACCTGCCTTCGGCCCTCCCGCCTGCCCTGCGAGAGCCACGGGCTCCGGCCACCCGCCCAGAGGCAGAAACGGGGTTTGGGGGGTGGGAGGGCACTCTGGAATTTTATTTTTATTTCTTTGGAGTATGGGCAAAGAAAAAAAGAGCAAAAATGTAGGTTCCTCTTGGGGTTTTTTTGGTTTTTTTTTTCTTTTTTTCTTTTTTTTTTCTCTGTGCAGTAACAATATCACGCTCTCTGGCGATGGACCAAGGCTGATCTCTGTTGTGTCTATGTCGGGGTACGGAGTTAGCTGCGTTCTTCTCATGAGGATCATGGTTAGTGATGCAACTACAGTGTAGAAATCTAAAATGAATAATAAAATTTATTTTCTATGTCCCTAACAGGACAGCAGGAGTGGCAGCATCTTCTTAGGTCAGGCAGCAGGAGCAGGCAGGGCTGTCCCCAAGGTGCCCTGTGGAGATGGAGTGGCCTCACACTCACCTCCTGCCCTGGGGGTCTGGGTCTTCTGCATGGGCTGAGGGTCTTTGGCCTCACAGGGCTGAGCCAGGCCAAGCGCAGGGTCCTGCTGCGGGGTGGGGACAGCCCCCGGTCCCGGCACAGGCTGGGGATGGAGGGATGGACAGCAGCGCTGCCAAGAAGGGCTCGGGGGTGCCGGGGGGGGAAAAGCTGGCCAGGAGCCGGCAACGTGCGCCGGCAGCCCCGCGGGCCCCTGGCATAGAGAAGGCTCCGCGCAGACCTCAGAGCCCCTTCCAGTGCCTAAAGGGGCTCCAGGAGAGCTGGGGAGGGACTCTGCATCAGGGAGGGGAGCCGTGGGACCAGGGGGAATGGCTTGACACTGATAGAGGGGAGATTTAGGTGAGATCTGAGGAGGAAATTCTCTTCTGTGCGGGTGGTGGGACACCAGCACAGGTTGCCCCGAGAAGCTGTGACTGCCCCATCCCTGGAGGTGTTCAAGGCCAGGTTGGACAGGGCTCTGAGCAACCTGAGCTGGTGGGAAGTGTCCCTGCCCAGAGCAGGGGGGGAACTTGGTGGCCTTTCAGGGTCCCTTCAAAGCAAACCATTGGGTGACTGTGCCAGATAAGGGCAGGTGGTTCCTGGGGGTCAGTGCACCCCTCACTGCCCAAGTGCACAGGGAAGGTGCTGGTGGAGCCCGGTCACCCCCTCCCTCATGGTGTCACCCCTCTGTTATGCTGTCCTCCCCTCCCCGGGGACCCTTCTGGGGCTGGGGAGGGGAAGTGCTGCACTGGGGGGTAGTAGACCAGGAGAGAGGAACAGGCTTGGGAAAAAAAAAAAAAAAACGCCACTGTGCAGCCCCGCTGGCTGTTTCAGCTGCGCTGGGGGTGGAGAGGGCAGCCGGGGATTCCTGGAGGGGCTCTTATAAGCCGTTTCTGCTGTACTATTTCATTCATGAAATCTGTATTTACGGCGTTGAAGTCTAACTGAGAGTCAGGGCTGTGGTGTACTGTGCTCGCACACAAACCAAAGCAAGGAGTGAGAGTGATGCAAAAAGCTTCCAGCCAGGGATGGAGCAGGCCACTGCAGCAGTGGTGAGCTCCGGGCAGGGATTGTGCCCCAGAGACAGCAGGGGACACCCACTCACACCCCCAACCCCAGTCCCGGGGGGAGCGTGACAGAGGGACAGATGGGACAGTCACAGTCCAGGGACAGTCCCTTAAAGTGCCGTAACACAGCAGAGGCTCCACAGGGGGTCAGACGGCCTCTTAAAGCTCAGGCCACTGCAGCAGTGGTGAGCTCCGGGCAGGGATTGTGCCCCAGAGACAGCAGGGGACACCCACTCACACCCCCAACCCCAGTCCCGGGGGGAGCGTGACAGAGGGACAGATGGGACAGTCACAGTCCAGGGACAGTCCCTTAAAGTGCCGTAACACAGCAGAGGCTCCACAGGGGGTCAGACGGCCTCTTAAAGCTGGGGGCAACCAGGGCCCAGGGAGGATTCCCCCCCATGTCTCCCTCCCACCCAAGGCCACACCATCCCCAGGACAGAGTGGGGGCCATGTCCGTGTGTGTCCCCCCCCACCCCGGGGGGGGCTATTGCATTGATCCGACATTCAAATTGACGAGGACAGTAACGCCAAGTGGTGCTGCCCACGGTGGCACCTCGGCGCTGGCACGGGCAACGGTGGGTGCCCTGGTTTGTCCTGGGGGTCACCAGGACATCACTGGTTGCCTTCGTAGTTGAGCACGTAGTAGTCGTGCACGTACATGAGGACGGCGATAGGCTGCCCGATGATCAGCGATATCCAGACGGCTGCGTTCCCGTAGTTACCCCTGAGGAACCTGGAGACGAACCAGGCCAGCGGGACCTGGAAGGGACGGGGCAGGGGGGCAGCCTCAGCTCCACAGCTGCGGGACTCAACGCCCGGGCCACCGGGAGGCGCGAACCAGCAGCCAGTGGGAGCTGCGCTTACCTGAGCCGCCATCCCCATGAACGCCCACAGCCGGAACATCTTCAGGGGGACACTCACCAAGTACTGCGGGGACACAGCAGCAGCTCCAGGCCACGGTGGGGGTGGGGGGGGCCTCAGGAGCTGCAGGGTA